GCATCAACCTGATATCCAACTATCGATCAAAGGACGTGTATACTGAGCATCAGTTCGCTCCGTCCTCCTTTATGGCTGTGAGATATGGCCATTGAAAATGGAAGACATTAAAAGACTAGTTGTCTTTGATCATAGGTGTCTGCACTCCATCTCCCATATTAGGTAGTTAAATAGGGTGAGTTATGCTGAGGTCAGGTGTCGAATGTCAACCGATGGATTTCTGAAGCTTCGCATGCCTAGTCATCACCTTCCTCGACTGGCAGTGATAGCTGACATGCGATCGGATTGGAAAAGAGTTAGTGGTGGTAAAACCAAAACTCGGAATCAGTCAATGAAGTCTTCGACAGTTAGTTTGAGCCTCGTATGGAGGTGTAGGCTTCCTGGTTAGCGTCCTCGAGATAATAAAAACCAATGACTGGAGACAATTGATGATATGGCTTGAAAACATTCTCACTGGCGTAGATGCCTTCACTCTTTGTGATATGACACATCCAATAAAGCCCTATTGTTTTTATAAGTTACTATTTGTTTCAGGTTAGACCACTGATTGATATCAGTTAGAGAACCATTGAAAACCAGGGAGTACTGGACAGCTATTTTCATCCTATTTTGGGAGTCATTGGCTTCTAACCCAGGACTTTCCAGTTGCAAGGCAAGCTCGTACACCATTCAGCCACTGGGACCCGATTCGATGGCCCATAAATCCTAACTTCTACAGATTCGTGATTTTTAGCCCGACTGGCACCAACCAATGTCATCGGTGGGAACTCCATCCTCACTCCCGACTGGATGGACCCCACTGATTACGACTTATCAATAGAACTCTAGACAACTTCGTGCTACATGGAGTGTCGTAACTCGAACTGCTGCACTTCTGTGCAGAGTTCTATGTTGAAAGCAGTCAGTCATCACCAAACAGTTTTTCAATCGATAAAGCCTCAATTACTTATGAAGATGTACAGGTAATGATGATCAGGATGAAAATGATACTTCTACCAATCAAAAGTCCAAGTCAGAAAATAGTGTAAGCCGAATACATAGACTGTTATATTTCAGTTTTGACTCTTGTTGATGGATGACAAGATAAGGAGTAACAGAAACATTCATTAGGTATTACCTTGTTCTTGATATTTATTAGACAATGTCAATTCTGAATGATGATACAAATTTTATACCGACTATAACAAAAGAAAGGAATACTTATACACATTGCAACGCGAATACCTTCTGAACTCGGTAAACAAAAGTGTGTATGAGTGTTATGAGAATGTGCTTTCGCCAACTTAAGACTTCGTTCTACGCCGCTTTTAGTTATTACAGTTGCTAAATACCACCACACAACTGTTGATGCTAAAAGTGACTGACTATAGAAAGCAAGGATAACTAATCAGGACAATACGAGCACAATTTTTATTTTTGTTTCATCGATACTTCTCTACTCGTCAACTGTCAAACGGACTACGTATTCATAGAGGACTTGGATGAATATTGAGACAATTAAAGTTAGAAATGGGAATAGAAACCATATTTAACTTGAAGTAGTATATATGCATTTGGATGTACATAACTGCAGGAAATTTTCTAAAAGTATGAAAAGTAAAGTGATGAACAGCTACATAAAAATAGAATTTCGAAACAAAAGGAAGGCTGCGGAAAACTCAGTGAATTAATAAATATCTTGCATAATTATAATTTGTAGTCTGTAATCACCAGAGTCACAAGAAAAAGATGCATACAGCGAAAATTCTCTTTTCAACGATTCATTTTCAGAAGCTGTACAGTCGTAATTATATTTAGCAAAGAATTCATAAGACCAGTCAGATACTAGTAAGTTTATTTTAGAAAGTGTATCACATAATATAAGGTGTAACCTAGAAGGGGATGGCTAATTTGGAAATTAGAAAAAGGGGGCAAAAGTTGGGATGATGTAATAAGTGTGGGAAGATGACTAGTCAATGTAGTTGTGTAGAGCGAACAAAAACTAGTGGAAAGAAAATAGTGCTCTTATAAAGTTTGTATGAACACTCAGTCTTCTTAATAAACAATAAAAGGGTGATAAAAGATTAAGGATGATCATACTAATAATAAACATACATAATAAAATGAAGCAAAATTATGGTACGAACGTTACTCTGGTCAAGGTGAGGCGAGTGAATACATGTGATGCTTTTGGATTCACAGGTCCGGTTTCAGATCCGGAATAGCCAGTTATTTAGTAGTGGATAAATGGAGTATCCGCAGTCCTTTTATGTGATACTGAGGAACTCTGTGAAGCATTCAAACAGGGATGCTCGATGTCCAGAGCTGACAAGGTGCTCAATGATAGAACTACTGGTATTCTTTTCTCCTTTGGATGACAGGGCAGGACAGTGTTCCAGAATACTATTTGCTAACTTGAGGTTGCGTACAGTCGATATACTTTGCTTCATACGAACAAGTAAACTGATAAATAAACACTGAGATGGCCAAAAGTGGTATCTTGTCCTTAACGTTAGACTGAACTGTCTGACGGAGAATGTGATAAGTAAGATGGTCGCTTAAACTGTCTTCAGACGCTCAGAAAGGCAGTTTCTAAGAAATTCTGCTTCGATGTCAACTTTGAACTTCGGGTTCATGAAGAGAGCTTTCTTAGGAACATTTGTGATTTTTGTCTACGGAGACTTTCCCTGCATGTTTTTGGCGATAAATCTCTGGTAGGGTTTCACATAACGAATTTATCGTGTCTTCCGAACAGATTTTTCTGATCCTTGAACAAAATTTACGTACTAGGTTTAGCTTTCGGATTGGTGGGAGGAAGCTCTGGAAGTTGATAAACTGTCCCGTCCATGTTGGCTTGCGACATATTGACCTTTCTATCGTGCACTCCTTTCTTCTGGTTAGTACTACATCCAGAAATGGAACTAACATGTCTGATTCACGTTCTAGGGCGAATTTTATTGATGGGTGTGTAGCGCTGAGAGTTTTGAGGAGATAGTCTAAATCAAATTTTTCGTCACAAATTATAAACATATCATCTACGTATCTCATGCATAGGTGCAGTTGACTGATCAAATGATCAAGGATGGCGTTTTCGAGACTCACTATGAAGCAGTCAGCTAAGAGATGGCCAAGAGGAAAATGCATAGCTACACCATCTTTCTGTACGTAGAATTGTTCATTGAATTTGGATTGGATACTGAATGTACATCTGAGCAGTAGTTCCTTCATATAGTTGATGTGAAGAAGAACTTCTAGGTTGTTGGTTTCGATGTAGTCACAGATGAAGCAGATTGTATCAGTCAGGGGGATGCTTGTGAATAGAGAGGTGACATCCAGGGAAAACATTTGTCCTTCAAGCACGATATCTCACTGAATTGGCGGTATCAGATGTATCACTGAGGCATACTTCGTCATATGCCACTTCGCCATCTGATGATATGGTGAGATGACCACGTCTATGATAGGTGGAAGTGGAACATCCTTCTTATGCAGTTTGGGTAATCCAACTAATCTTGGAATAATTGAAGTGCATGGCTTTGTTTGTTCATATACCTCAGATGTTATGACTGACTCTTCTTTCATTTTCCTTAGTAATTTTATAAGTAGGTTTTTGTTCTTCCCGTTGTCCTTTTGGTTGGGGGATTCGAGGAATTTGGTATTGTCTGACAGTATGTTTGTTAATTTTTTGACATAACCTGGTCTGTACATTACATCTTTTGTGTAAATATGTGAAAATATTTCATTGCCAAAAGGTGGGTAGCCGTAATTTCTTTAGGAAATATAAAGTATTTTCATTAAATTGGTGGTATTAAAACTTATATGCAGTATTGTAATATGTACATCCACAGCAATTTGTATTGCATTTCGAAATGACATTAGTAGAATTACAGAAATGACAATAAGGTGTAAATTAGCAAATTAATCCAGCGTTCGTATACACACAAACACGTACACATAAACTTTTCTGTGTTTTTAGCACTTTATTATATCACCTAGTTTTTCTTTCTATTAATTCTCACTATGGTTATAGTCTCAGTATTTCTGTTAATATACACACAAAGACAGGACTGTTGGTTCAAAATACATGAATTTCCTCCATCACCCATTCGATATACGCACATGCCTTTGTCTATTGTATTATATATATTCTTTGTTCAAGTTGAGTTTCGATTTCCCCTTTTGATTCATAGAACCGAAATGTTCAACCTCTGCTGACGTGTAGGCTCCTAACACGGACTCCTTGACGATGTCTAAGGATTAACTTGAAGTGACTATGGTGGATGGTAACTAGCAATGAAATCCAGGATGGACATTTCGTCCTTTTCGGAATTCGTCACTTGCATCCCCTAACAAGTGATTCTGTTCCCACTGAGACTCGAACCCAGTACACATCGTCTCAAACACTAAAGAATTATCCAGTGGGCCAAAGAGAAACATCATAACTCACCTGGGGAAGCAGGTGATGAGTCACAAATAGGAAGAAATGTGCAACCTGAATTCCCCTGCTTTTTGGTCACTACCCACCAAATTACTTCATATATATTATACACGTATATTTTTAAAGAGCAATGTTGACTAAGTCGTTATCGAACATATCAGTAATCTGAATAGAGCTACATGACGTCACAGCCCACCGATAACTAAGCAACACTTTTGATGAGTATAAAACATATTTTAGCACAATATTATGCATCTACTAGAACCTAGAATTGGTTTTAATATGCTTCAGTTATTGAACAAACTATGTATGCATATTTAACGTACAGTAGGCTATAATCTATTCTATGTAAAATAATCACTATACGAATTGACGTATTAACCACCTACCACCCAACCACCCACCCACCTAGAGAACACTAATGATTTGTCAAACAGAACGAGAAAAATTAATGTATAATTTGATTTATTATTTGTATTCTAGGTAGTTTTGTTGTTTTCTTCTTTCTTACTGTACAATTTTATAATTACATAAAACAATTTTTTTCAAAAAATATATATAATACAAACAAGTAACTCTATGATCAAGATTTCATTGTTTTCCAACGTTGAATGAAAGAACGAATCAATTCCAAGCGAACACCTAAACAATATTCAATATATGCATAAATGATGATGAGTTGATTCACATTGAAAAAATTATTGGTAACATGACATGAAATAATATTGATTTGATACACTGACACTTAGGCATCACTTATCCAACAAAGAGCAAGTTGAAATCTTACAACCAAGCATATGGCGGTGTATCAGTTCACAACACAGGCTTTTAATTTAGTTTTAGTCGTCATTCAAATATATTTGCTTTTGATTATAGCTTGATTCCACACCGTATTTTTCAGTACAAGTATGGAATTTTCAGCATGTGATATTGGTAGCCCAAATTTCGCAGGCCGACCAATTGATATCAGGTGTACGTCGGCAGGGGATCGAACTTCGGGCCATGTGCATGGTCAGCGAGAGTCCTAACCGCTGTGCCACCGAGATCATTCTTCAACAGGAAGAAATCTACAGTGGTATTCATCACTGGGTACAGTGATATTTTCTAAGGCAGTGTAGATATGTTGATACATAAGTGACAATAATACACGAAAAAGATCTCGTTATTTTAGATGATTTTAACGCCACTAGACATTTAATTGACTTCTATCAAATAAACAAGAAATGTGTTCAAAAATGCCACATGTGATATAAGATTAACTGATTTGATTGAACACTAGGTAGTAGCTAATGCCATGTGTATAGTGCCTGGTTTGGTGCAGACTGAATTATATCAGTCAAGTTTGCAATGTGGCCACCATTCTAGGTGACTCATCATCACGACGCACTCTGAATTGCTGTTATTAGTTGATTGGTGGCAATCGACAGGAAGCCTTAGGCCTTGGTTTTGTGCTTGTCGATACTCAACAGTCAGTAAAGAGTATCTGAAAAGGACTCATGTCTCTTCTGAGATTCAAACTCGGGTCACCCAGTGCTGCAGTCAGAGACGTTGGGGCTAGCAAATGACCTCCTTACAGGACGGTAATGGATACTTTGATTGTATACTAAGTAGCAACTAATGTCAAGTGTCTAGTTCAAGGCTTTCTGCGGATTGCCTCCACCCATCTAACAATAATGTGACTGGCAACAGTTCGAAAAAGCAACCATTTTTTATTGACACCATGACCACACACTCAGTTATAGTTATTTACAAAGTAAAATAAAGTCCACACCATTGAACATATTCTTGAATAATACATAAAATAGACAGTGGAAATGATAGTTGAAAAATAGACCCTAATAAATGACAGAATTAAATAATAGTATTTGTATGAGACAGTTAATTAATTAATTAAATCACTATTAAATCTTAATATTGAGGAAATTGTTACTTTTATGTGCTAAAAATGTCCAATTCCAATTCGACGGGCATCTATTCCGTCAAATTGATAGTGTCACAATGGGAAGCCCTTTAGGACCACTTTTCGCAGACTCATTCTTGTCAGGCCTAGAAAGTGGTACCTTGCAGCAACATATACAAGAAACGGATGTATACCTAAGATATACTGATGACATTTTTATTGTCTGTGGAAGCAGATCAAAAGCCGAAGACATGTTGATAAAATTCAGTTCATGCCATCCAAATCTCAATTTCACAGTAGAACACGAGGAAAATGATACTATCAAATTCCTAGACGTTTTTCTAGAGAAAATGAATGATGGCACAATCGACAGATCTATATTTAGAAAGTCTTCATGGACAGGACAGTACATACATTTCAAGAGCTTTGTTCCAATCCAGTATAAAAAGAAATTAGTCAGAACACTGTTCAATAGAGCACGAATAATTTGTTCTGACAGTACTATTGAGCATGAAACAAAATCTCTGAAGGATATCTTATCTAAGAATGGATATCCTGAGAAGTTCATTAATAAATACTCTAAAGAAAACACCCGCTGCAAAACAATCCAAACAGTTCTGAAGAAACCTGTCTATATCAGTTTGCCGTTCAAAGGAGATGATGTACAGGAAGTAGTCAAACGAAGACTCGACAAAGCCATCAAGAGAACTTATTATGCTGCAAAACTTGTTTTCCTTAACACCACTAAGCGAGTGCTTCAGTAATCTGGGAAAGACCAATCGCTAATCCTCGACACTTCAAACTGCGTATATCAATTTGAGTGTGTTTGTGGAAGCAAATACATAGGTCATACAGAAAGGCGATTGTCTACTCGTATGATGGAGCATTCGCCAAAATGGTTGAAAACAGCTGAGTTCAAAGTGCCAAAATCCTCAATAACAAAACATATTGTGGACTACGGACATGACATCGACGCGGTCAAGTCATTCACCATTGTCAGCAGACAAAGAAACAAGAAGTTGCTTGCAATTGCAGAGGCTTGTGAAATTCGAGTTTATAAACCACGTCTCTGTGTACAAGAGGAGATGGTCGTGACTCTGAATCTACCATGGTAATACGTTTTACTTATTATTCTACCTCTTACTATTATTATTTTTATTATTATTATTATTCTCATTATTATTATTCTTGATTCATTTAAAACTATACTTTATCAGTAGCATTATCTTAACTCACTTCAACACTATTATTATAATTATTGTTATTATAACTATTACTATTGACATCCCTCTGGTTGCAATTCTTGTTAAATTCTATAATGTCTAATTGTTTATCTAAGTGATGTAATTGAAGCGTAATGCAATTTATCTTAATTTTGATCTCCCATACTCTCTCTCCCCTTATCTAATTGAACATGACCTGGGAAAACATTCGCATCTGTCTTTCTGCATGACTAATTCAATGTAGTTTGTTTATTTATCAGTCTTATATCCCTCGATGTAATTTTAAAAGTATATATATCTGTGTATGTAGAGTATTCAGCTGACGAGTTCTGCCGAAATTTAACGAATTCATTAAATCCTGCTTTATTAACCTTTATCACTTGTTTTCAATTCTTAATATTTCTGCTGGCTAGTTATCAAACCTTGAGATAAGAAGTCCCTTATCTAGGGTGGCCACCACATACTCATTTCATATGACATAAGAAATACTGAGAAATGCAACACTAACAGGAGAATTTCTGAGATCAAATTTTTACATAAATTAGTAGGAAACAATACTGTCAACCTGGACAAGATATATGAGTTGATTCGAATCGAAATCATCACTGCAATAGTCAGTCAAGCTAAGGAAAAGCAGACTGTCAACTCGGTTAAAATTGAGGTCGTTAAACAAAGAGACAGTATCAAGGTAAAATGTAACATTATTACATAGCTGTCTATACTTGCACGTCAACGAGGTCATTAGTCAGATAGGTAGGATAACTTCCGTGGATTAAGACAATCGGAGGTCAGTTAATTAATTACCTAAGAAGACTGCCTTTATGTATGTTTAAAACTAGTCAATGAGCGATAGAAGAAAACCTCTTTCAATTAAAGAAAGGTCAGTCCACAAAATCGATATGACTTACATCAGTTGATTCAGATAAAGGAGCCGAACAACAGACAAGAGGTCATCTTGCTGTACACTATCCTAAGGAAGTCAAACATCCAGATACTAACACTTTCTCATAAGTGAATTTTCAAACTAACCAGTTTATTAGACCAAAATAACACAGACTTTTGCAAAACAACTTATGATGTTAGATAATCGCGTCTAGCGGGACAATGAGTGCTAGCCGAAGCTTCAACCTATTGAGTGAGTCAGTATGAGTATCTCGACACCATGAGCTGCAAATATATATGCCTTGAGTTTGAATTCCATCAACTATGAGAAGCTGGTGAAATAGACATTTAGGTGCTGATAGTAAGGGATTTTTTAAAATACACAATTACATTAGATGACTACACGAAGGACAAGTTTTAAGATGAAAAGCTACATTTTTCCAATATGTAACACTATATATATATATATATATATATATATGACATACCATGATTAACAACCAGTGTTAAAAACTCTTGAGGAACTATTGTATCTTCAGGCGCTGTATTTCTAAATCCAATTAGAATAGTAACCGGTGCTGTTTTATTGGTTGACAGATCATTCGATTCATGTGCAGTACACTCTTTAGAGAGTAAATCACAGTATGGAGGAGTAATATTGAGAAAGTCTTTGACACTACTGATTTCTTGTTCATCTGAACCATTTAGTTGGATGCTTTCCTTATTGGTATTGCTTTCAGAAGATATTGTATCAGAGGATTTGTTTGTATTTGTTAATGTCTTGTTAAAATAAAATAAAATAAATACTTACTGATAATTATTAGACTGCTTCATCAAAGCGAAAATTTGTAAACTGGAAAATAATGATATGACTCGAAATTCACATTTCATTAGAGTATGCACTCGCTAACTGAATTATACACGAATAGTCGTAAAGTGGTACTATATTTAAGACCGTTTATAGGCTGACATGTCACCTATTCACTATGTCTTAATGAATTATAAAAACGATGTATTGTGAAACAAATAGTAACTCTTTAAGCATTTTCATATGAAATGAAACGTTACTCAACAATCACCTGCTCTATTGCAGGCAGTTGACAATGAGTGACAACTATTGTGTGTGAAGTCTACTACTAATACTACCTGTCTGCTCAAACTTCGATAGATGAAGCTTGGTTTTAACCCGTGACCGAGTGGTTGGAAGTTGAGTGCCTTGAAAAATGAGCCAAAACTCCACATATAAAACTGAACATATAATTTGAAATCTTGTACGGATGATATCATGATGCTATGGTCGGTAAAAGCCGTATACCAGCATCTGAAACCATTAACTGTTTGTAATCGATGAGATATATTGTATCCATATTATTTCCCTATATACTTATTCTTCCTCATGTACATTTCTCTGTTCATTGGAGTCGTTTTGAATAGTTTCTTCCTTTTTCTCCATCTTTGTGTGGTATATAGAGTTTAGCAAATTGAACTATTGCATATCTGTGTAAAATTATACGTTGAAACTTAGTTATTATCTGATTCCTGCTGCATCCTAGTATATATATATATATATATATATATGTATATATGTATATAAACAGTTCATAGCTAAGAAGTCAACAAACATTACCTGCGCAAAATAAGATGCACAATCAAGTATACTCAACCATCTTCTTACAACCCGAAGATTTACATTTTGATTAGTTGAACTCTTTGATTCCCCTTCATCAGTTTCTGCTACCAATTCTTGAGTATCACTATGTAAAGCATCCTGACGATGAAGTTCAATAGGCTTATTTGGTTTCTCTTCTGGTCTTTGTAATCGAAGATAACTTTATTTTTGAAAGATAATTATAAAAATGGAAAATAAAGAAGTTAAATTAGGTAATTGATATTCATTGTTATCCGGGGATTTATTAAAAATTGAAGCAGAATGACCATTTCAATATTGAACAAACATTTTGAATGAATACCTTCATAGGTACACTTTAAAACAATAATTTCCATCTATACTCATCACGTAATTGCAAATAGACCTTCTGAAGTTCCTTGGTGGAAGGGCGAAAAGCAGTGGAATCCATGATACACATTTCGTCCTATTTGGGACCCGTCATCTGGGTGTTTCCGCATTCCCCAGTGAGTGGTAATGTTCCCACTAAGACTCGATCCAACTCCCATCGTTTCAAACACCAAATATTTAACCACTTGCGCAACAGGCACCAGTTATTATTCATTTTCAAGTCGATTTTGATTTTAATTTAGTTGTGTTCTCTGAGCTGGTTGATTTAATTACAAAGCTTTCGTTGTCCTGCCAGACAACATTTTCACTGCAGGTTTTACTTCCCGTTGATTGATTAGACCAAAATGTGGATAAAGCGTTAGCGTTTGAAACGATGGGTGCTGGGTTCGAGTTTCAGGTAGGACACCATCATTCATTGGGGAATGCAAACACACCCAATCGACCAGTCCCGAATGGGACAAAATGCGTGTATCCTACACTGCTGGTCGCCAACCACTAAATTACTTCAAGCTAGTCCTCAGACATAGTCGAAGACATCTGTACAAGGAGCCGACATTTCAATTCGATCAATCAGCGGGAAAACCAAGTGACTTAGAAGCAGCAAATAACTTCTGAAGTTCCCTTCACATCGATTTATTGAATAGTTAAATATGAATGACACTTTATTTTAACGGGATCCTTACATGATTAGGAATTGCTTATTCTGAACAGTGTTGTGATCTTCGTTTCGTCAAGTCAAAAAGTAATAAATATATGAATAGAAATCCCCAACACTTGAATTTGTATGCAAGTTATACTGAAAGTTTTACGCCTATAGAAAAGTTTAAGTGAAACTAACGTAGGACTCTGAGATGTGTATATTTCCTTACTGTTATTTTACATTCAGATTCAAACTGAAAATTACCTTTAACAACAAATAGTAACTTTCCACTTGATGTTCTGTGATGATATCAGCAGAATTCAGCACAACATATTTCGTAATCATATTTAGCAATTGCCAGAATAACAGACAATAGAATAGCTCGAAACTATATACAAACATTACAGCTCAAGAAATGTCCACCAAAATGAAAAAAGCATAATATGAATAGTGTTGAATGTACTCATTATAAATTATTTAAATTAATCCCAGCGAGTTAAGAAAATCAAAACAAGATTTTTCTGAACGTTTCGCTGTGTAAGCCACAGCTTCTTCAGCAGATTTATTCGGATGGTGGCATATTATACAGTCGTCTTTTACTCACACACTTAGACTCATTATTATTACTTTCATCACTCCCCAGGGTTCCGAGTGGAATACTAGGGCTTCAGAAACACATCTCCAATTCACGAGTTCTTTGAAATCCTTTCTAGTTGGCTCTAACATTGACCATAAGCTTTCATCTGGTACTCACGCTATCCCCTCCATATTGCCCTCGAATGCCCAACTCACTGTCTGTCCTATTCAGGTTCAACTCGAGGGCATGGCGTGAGATATCGCTCAACTACTTTTTCAGTATATGTCTAATCTATCTCTAAATTTCCGTCAACATATTTATTGGGCCATAGTTCTTTGGTCAGTTTGTTACTAGAGTTCCTTGTTAATAATCTCTTCTGACCAGAGTCATGTGATCTTCAGTATGTATCACTCGTTTTCATTCAAATCTTAGTGAAAATAACAACGTTGTTAGGTCTTCTATGGAAAATCTCTTATATGAGGATTTGTTAAGTTTCTTTCTTTCTTCTTTGAGGATAAGACTTATTATCATCACTTTCCCATTGAATCAAGTAAATTCAACTTCTATGCCGTATCAACCTTGAATAGTCCTTTTAATTTATTTACTAGTATTAAAAAATATCTCATCTATTAGGAACAAATACAAGTAGCAATTTATTTGCCATTTAAAAAAAAGTAGAAATTTTTCTTATCAATCACTCCCTAACCACAAAGCTATACATTAAGAAAGAGTTTCAAAAGACAAATTCAAGGTAAAGGAATATTACACTCATATGGCAGTCTGAAAGAGAAGACAGAAGTGTGATGAAGACAAGAAACCAACAAAGTGGCAAGCATCAATCATTATCAACGGGAGAGACTTAAAGGAAGTCACTTCTTTCACTAATCTAGGTAACACTGTTTCAACTACAGACAGTCAGCACATATGAGAATGTCAAAACCAAGATTGGAAAGGCAAGACAGACCTTCATTACTCTGAAATCAATTAGTGTGTGTATCTGTTGCAATCAGCATAGAGAACAACATTCAGATTTTCAACACTAATGTGTCAAGTCATTTCTTCTATTTGGGTTCAGAGACTTGGTGTGTCATAAAAAACATTTCCAACGGTCTACAGACTTTCACCAAGATCTTCCTTCGTTCCATACTTAAGATCAAATGACCGGCCAGAAAGCATTAACAACATAAAAATTTGAGGAAGAACCAATCCAAACGTATCGCCTAACAAATATGCCGAAGAGTATGGGAATGGGTCGGACATACGCTGAGAAGACCGTCGAATCGAGCCCGAATCGGAAACGAAGAGTGGAGAGTGTCAAGGGGAAATGACAGCCTATGGGTAATTGTGGAGTCAGAAGACAGGATGAAATAGAGATGTGCCATTGAAGCCCTACGATCCACTCGGAAATTGGGGGAATAATAATAAAAGAGATGGTCTGAAAACAGAAATAACACTAGACTGAAATATGACAGCTTTCGTTAAAATATGAGGAATTCAGGAGAACGGGTTATTTTCCAGAACCCTGTTACACGATGTGTAACTTAAAGGAGATACTTAATACTCTTAACTTATGTGTGAATTACTGATTACAGTAATCATCGTATACTGTTGTTCGCAAATTTGCCACCAATAAACTACTTACCGGTTACCTCCGTGTGTTTCATGTTCTAAATAGCGTATAGCTACCCTTGCAGTCGCCATTGTCTTCTTTAAGTAGTCCAAATGAGAAATAACTGAAGTTCAGGTTAGAAACAAGAAAAAAACATATACAGCTATAGCTAGAAATTCACATTATGCTTAAATGTGCACATAAGAATTCATCTGGAAATAGTGTTTATTAACGTCTAAAAGAAAATCAAAAATTCTATCTATCTACGATTCATAACTATGGGGAAAAAAGGAAATCTGTATGCCCACAATATGTGAATTTTTGAAGTCAATACAATTAAGTATGCCCAACTTAATTACCTACTTGAAGTTTCCGATAATACTACATCGAATGTACGAAGGGATTGTAAAACCATCTCGTTATCCATAACGCGATATGAGCAAGGCATGATTCGAGCCCAAAACACCATGATGAAAGCTAAGTGTATCATTTCAGTGACCCATAGCTCCATGAGTGAACATGTAATTAACTTGGGTTGTGTTTTTTCTTCTTTAAGTCACCACTGAAGTGTATTTTCTCATATAGTGTGGAAGTGCTGTATTTTTGATGGTAAAATATATTAAACAGCTACACCTAGAAATTCTTTCTTTTTCATTCTTTCGCGTGCTAAGTAGGCTTCAAGCATGAACTTTGAATTTGAAGTAGTAGTAGTGTTTTACGAGGTAGAGTTGCTAGCCTCACGCCCAACCTTCCCTCTTTACTGGGTTTATACTTTCGGTTAAGCGAGGTTTAGGAGGCTGTCAGCCTGGAATCGAACCCTGAACGCAAGTATGGTTGGCAAGCATTCTACCACTGAACAACTGACAAAATAAAAATTTTCTGTCTTCTGCTAAACACCCTGTCTTTTTAAACCACTTTTCAAAGGGAAAGAAGCATTAACTGATAATTAAGACGGTGATGCATTCAACAGGATTGTAAATTGGCGCGTCGGTGGCACAGCTGTAAGGACTCTCGCCGACCATGCACATGGTTCGAGGTTCGGTCCCCTGCCGACGCACACCTCATATCAATGGCCGGTCTGCAAAATTTAGGCTACCAATATCACATGCTGAAAATTCCATACTTGTATTCAAAAGTACGGTGTGGCATCAAGCTATAATCAAAATAAAAATTAACAGAATAACTGTCTAGGTCCTATTTTCAAATTATCCATTCATATTTGGCAACAAGACCAAATATGACTTTTAAAAAAATACTTTTAAGGGAACCTTATATTATACAGTCGTACTAGGACGAAACAGCCTTCCAGAACCGCCTGGTTTTTCAGTGGTTCTCTAACTGATGTCAGTTCATGACTAAACCTGTAACCAATCAAGTACCCACAAGCCAATACTTGAGTCTTAACTTTCAATAGATCGTAATTGAGAGTTGAATTAGTATCGATAGTTAGCCAAATTACAAATGGACTGAAGGCCTACGAGATGAGATTTAGAAATCAGCTATGTGAAAACTGACGCATAAAGATAATTATGTTGGAAAAAATCAAATCAACTAACCTGCCTGTGGTATGATTAAAATAAAGCGATTTGAGCTGACCAATTGTTTAACCATATGTAGATGACTAGTTAAACAGTAGGCATCTATAACTAGGTAGGGGGATAAGAAGCTTTTAGTAATATCGAACTCCAGGATGTCTTTTGTGGTCGATTCGCCGTTCTGTGGATCGGATTTAGCATTGGCATTTCTGGCAGATGAAAGGGGAGAGTGATTTCGAAACTGACTTGCTAACTTGTCCACCTCGTTTAACAAGCGCAAACGAGCCATATCTCTCATTGCCTGATCTCGACGTGACTGACTAGCTTCACTTGGATCAGTCTTTAAATAACAACAGTAGTATAAGCATTGAATTAAAATACAAATAACTGATAATTTGACACATTGTGAAAATATAAGCTAAACTAAACATAGACGAATCTTCTTGTTAAACGAATATTACCTAAAGAACTATTGAGAACCAAGGAGTACTGGATACCTTTATAGTCACTTTACAGGACACGGGATTAGTGGGTTGTTAGATCCTGACCCATTGTAGTTGGATGATAGCATTTCCACCTAGGAAAACTGACATTTATGTGCTCGGTTCTTCATGCTATTGTAGATATCTGCTGCTGAAGAGTTAAGAACTGGGACCAAACAACTTTAATTACAGATAAATTATAATCCTATGCCTGACAACAATCTACATTAAAAACTTTGAGAGAGATTCTTGAAGCAACATTTCCTTAACATAAAACACCATACATTCATTTTTAACCACAGAAAAATTGACAGCCTCTTTATACAAGAATGATAATTATCGTTAGGAGAAAAATTCATTTGAGATGGAGTTCAAAACATCTACCTGCAGTCTAACAGTTGAAAGCTTTTAAGTGTAAACTTTGCTATCTAATCAAAGTGAATAGTGCACTTAAATATAAGCATGTAATTTTTCAGAGCGAAAGTCAGACATACAATCTCGGTAATCGAGGTGAAATTGAATCTTGAATCCAATATATTTGCTAGAAAAAAGTGATATGAAAAGATAAATTCGAGACGATAAAGTCCACTTTATGTCCGTACACTTAGGAATGAAATTTCACTGAAATAAATTATGAATCATTAAACTTTCACCTAGTCAGACAATTTTAACACAATCACCCAAAAGACTGAGACGTCGATTCTGCATACTGTCGTAAACGGATACTGCTAACAAATCCGGAACGGTTGTTTAACACTTTTTTTAGATTTTCACTAATCTTTTAGTTGACTTTGACTCACAACTAAAAGTACATCTGAATGTAAGATAACTAATTAAGATTAAGTTTCCAGTTTCTAAATAGTATTACGTTTTTTTGTATTTCGCTCTTGTAATGGTCATGGGTGTTATTATTATTATTATCCCCTTGGGTTCCGAGTGGAACATAGGGCTTCAGCAACACAACTCCACTTTGTTCTATTTTTTGCTGTTCTCTCCAGTCGGGTCCACAATTGCCCATAGTCTCTCATCTCCTCCTCTCCAGCACACAATCTCCCCTATGTCACCCTCACACTGACGACCCACTAGTCGCTTCCCAACTGGGTTCTGCTCGAAAGATAGCCTGGCACGCGATGTCATTCGACGGCCTCCTCAACGTATGACCGATCCATCTCCATTTTCTCCGACATATTTGTTGAGCAATCGGCTCTTGGTTGGTTTGTTCCAAGCGTGAGTTTCTTGTTACTAATTCTTTCTGGCCAGCCATTCGATCTTCAGTATGGAGAGAAAGCAGATGTTGATAAAAATCTGCAACCCGTTGGAAATCATTTTTGTGACGCGTTGGACAAGTTTGTGACCAGTACAGAGGAACTCACTGACTTCATATTTATGTTGAATAGAATCCAAATATTGTTCTTTATGCTGAATGCAGTAGATTTCCAAACTGGTTTCAGCGTGGTGAAGGTGTATCTTGCCTTTCTGATTCTGGCTGTTTGGTTTTTACGTCTTCATCCATTCCGCCTGATGGTTGTGTGCTTTATAATTATTCCGTGTTTTTATGATTCGAAGGATATATTTGGGTAGGGGATCATTGACATATAATTAAGAGGTATGTTTAGTATAACTCAGTTTTAAGGCAAATATTTTTATGATAGTATATACATCTCCATTAAAAGTAAATATCAAGTTCACTTCACTGACCAATATTTAGCCTGAAATTGATGAAGAAATGTGTTTATTGGACACTATTGTGATGTCATTGACAAAATATCTCAGAGTGGAATATCTTAGTTTCGTAGTGGAACAACGAAAAATAAACTTTTCTTTGTTAAATCAAAGCGTGTAAAAAAGGCCTTTACTGTTATAACAAAAATGTAACACTTAAGATTTGGCGTTGCGTGAAAATAATTCAATTATTTACACTGAATACCAGTGACAGTAGTTCTTTGTCAATGAAAAGAAATGTCAGCTAACTTCTGCCGGTAGTGATGACAAAGCATATTTTACAAAATAAACATTTCTACGAAAATAAGGTGTTACATCATATCAGTCATGTCAGTTTGGTAAATGTTGGAAAACAACTGAAAATAAGCAGTGATTTACTAACCTGATCTTTACAGGGGAGTTCTTGATCACTTTGCGTTGGCGGAGACGACTCTGATTTTTGTGTATTTTCCAAGCAAACAGAATCATGAGTATCCGATTTCGTGACAGCTTCCACCCTGTCATCAGATTCCTCTGCCTCCCAGGTGTCCCGATGCTTGTCTCTATGTTGTGAATGACCACTATGATATCTTGAATCATAATATGATTTATGTCCTCTAGTTGAACCTGAATGCCTCGGATGATCCCGATATGATGAACCTCTGTGATGCATATATGAACTGCGATGATCACTTCTGACATGTTGATGACTACCAGTGTTAGAACAATAAGAACTGTATCGATCAACTCTCTTATAAGCAGGATAAAATCGGTGGTATCGACGGCCACGTCGTCGGCGACGATTTGGTTGAAGCCAGTTTGAATGATGAGAATACAATGGACCACATGGATTAGACAATGCAGTATCACACTTGAAAGGTAGACGGTTATTTGTTATGGAATCATTATATGTAACGTCTAAGCCTAGCTTAGGGCTACATGATACCAAATAACGGCCATGAAATACTAACGACAGGCAACGAAGTACAGTCTAATAGAGATAGAAAAAAGACTAAATTAAATTATGTATAACACAAATTACGATCAAGTTACTGATGAACTGCTATTATGTAAATTAATATATAATAAATGTGCGTGACATGCAAGCGTACGGAGTCATCAGCAGTGGCTAATCTTATTATTTAAAAATTATGTGATTACATTGTTATAATTATTCCCTTGGGTTTTAAGGAGAACGGAGGGCTTCAGAAGCCCATTTCCATTTCAGCGTACTGGCTCCACGATCAGCTATAAGCTTTCATCTCCTCACACGATCTCCATGGCAATCTCGAACACACAACTTGTCGTTTCCTTTCGAGTTCGACTCAAGAACTTGGAGCACAATGTCAGTCAATTTAGAAATTACATGATACTTCCATTTTATTTTTAAAAATAGCTAACTGACACATACATTACAAGTTATACTTACTTCATCAATGGCCGTATATGTAGGTGCTATCCACACATTATGAAAATCAATCTTATCATGAAAACACTTCATTGACGGTAAACCAAGCAGTAATGAATCCTCTGGTAAGGGAAAAAGATAAATTCTTTCTTCTTTGTCCTTTTTATCATTATCATTATTATTATCACCGACATCATCCTTATTTACACTTTCTTTCTCAGAAATTTTATCCGATTCATCTGGTATATTGGATGAGAATTTATTCGATTCTGGTATTTGGTAGGAAATTAATTTCAATACCGAGAGAGAACCATCAGTAGACAAGTTATCCACAATATTGAAGGCATTTCCATCTTTACTAACTATAAAGAAAAATATCTGAAGTTAATTTCTCATAATATCAATACGCAGATGCGTAGGCGGGTGGGGGGGTTCTAAAAATATCACAGCGATTCGAACAATTAAGGTGAAAAAGGCACATGTTAATGAATTACTTACTGACACAGAGGATTTTCATCGCACTGAGAATCAGTGCGCCGACATACTGCAGTCATTAGCAGTGGACCTCGCGTCAATCTCCTTAGATCTCATTATATTAAGGAACTATCTTCACAACCTCTATTATTTATTATACAGTAATTTATTATTATGTAACACTATGATACATACATAATAATATAATTCATTATTATTTGGCTATATTATACTGGGATGCCAATTATTATCTTTTCAGTTTTCTAATCAACTTTTAGAGATTAGTAAAGTTTGTTATTGATGACATCAGACAGGTGATATTCTTCCTAGTGAAAAACTGACCTAAAATTGTTGTTATTATTATTACATTATTACTCGAGCGGAACATACAGCTTCAGCATATCTCCATTCCATCCTGCTCTCTGCAGTCCGCTCTAGCTGGCTCCACGATTACGCATAAGCTTTCATCTAGTCCTCACACGGTCTCCTCCATGTCACCCTCTGACCGACGCCCAACTCGTCGTTGCATTCAAAGACCTTGCATGTGCCGTCATTCGACGGTTTCCTTAGCGTACATGTAATCCACCTCCATTTCCTTTTGTATATTTATTGGGTGATAGGCTTTCGGTTAGTTCATCACCAGAGTTTTATGTTGTCAATCTTTTCCGTTCATCTAATCGTCAATATCAAGCGAAAACAGCCGTTGATAAGAGTCTGAAGCTTGTTGGAAATGCTTTTCTTAGTGCGCCAAGTCTCTGTATCATATAAAAGCACTGAATGGACATCTGAAACAACATACCTTACAGTAGATACACTTAAGTGTGCCTTTCAAGTTTCATTATTTCACTGCTTTTAATGAGGTTGCTGTGAAACTAATCTGTGTAGTGACTGATAAAGCTGTACATCTTCTCAGTAGTTACAGTATAGAAAATTATGCTTTTTTCAAAATAATTAAATTCTCTCATATTGTATGAAGAAAACTGTAAACTTAAATTTGCTGTCCTCATCATCACTAAGTGTGCATATTTAAATCTATTCAATGAGTGTAGTCTCCAGTTTTGGCTACTAATTGTTAATAATTCTGGATTACAGAACTATTTGCAGTAACTAATTAAATATCAAAAGAGGATGTTAAAAATTTCTATTAATATCACATTAAACTTCGTCGTACCATTAGAAGCCTAAGTAAGACTCAAGGCATTGTTCAAAATGATTTTAAAAAATAGTGAAGCATCTAACAGCCCTAATAGAGAAGTTACTTTATATAAGGCACACAACTGGAAAACACGTACCTGGATCAAAAAAATGAGAACACACATTCACAACTGGTTGTTCTCCTTGATCACTAGTGTATGCTTGTGAAGAAGTAATTTTATCTTGACACAATAATTCGTGAGTAACTGTATTGTGTAACGGATGAATACTGTTTAACAATGGTGTTAACTGTGATACTAATCTTTCGATAGATGCTCGCCAAATACCAACTGTTCGACAAGGTTTCTGTGACTTAATACTAGCATCAGGTATTACTGGACAATCTATATCTTGAAGTGCAGATATATCCAAATGTTCAAATTGTGAACTTGACAGCCAATCCAAAAACAATTTAACAGCAGATAGTAAATAAAGTCTACTAAATAGACTGATTCGAATTGTTATATCTTTATTTGGATCGTAAGAATTTTTGTTACACGTGTCACAGGGATCTGATATCTCTTCATTTTCAGTCTTTGAAAGATATTTTGACGAGTGAGAGGTATTCTTGCCGACAGATTCACTTGAGGGACTGGTAAATAGAAGCACAAAGTTATTTATCATATGGCACGTATTATAAATAAAGAAATATGCTCACTGTTTAGTTCCATTCGATCAATTATAAAAATATCAGCTACTAAGAACGATGACTGCTTGTCATATATCACTCGCTTAAAAAGCAAAGAATTTACTGCACACACAGACTGACATGACCGCGGGAGTGGATGCAGCATCGACCTAGAGAGCAATCAGATCAAGGTAATGAAACTGGGGAAAAAAGATGCTGGAAAAGGGCAGGAAGATTTAACAGGATACCTTAATTTATTATGGATGCTCATTTATGTTTCTCTTCTTTCGCCCTAATCGGCTGCGTGGACCCTGTTGGTCGTCTGAAGATCACTGGTGTGTCCATTCCTCGTGGGTCGCTATTCTTTAACTTTGGCCAATCTACAATACCTGAAATCATCACCTTAATCCTATATGGTTTTCACGATTACCTGCGTATATTTATTCGAACCATTAGTATTTTTACTCCATATTATTCATGTATTATCTTCTGTACTACTTTCTTCGACTTCTTAATATGCCAGTATTATTTTAACCTATACGCCTACATTTCGGAAAGAATTTGCAAAGTGATCACCGAGTATATGATATACACAAGTAAAACGATTGCATTTAACTTGAATAATATCTTTGAGGACAATATAAAATCTTGATGTGGTGTGGAATGTTAACCTCTAAGTTATTTGACATGTGACACCGGTTACAATTCTCCACGTCAGAATTGCATCGCATTGATGATAGAAGACTGATACTATTCAGAGATATTATTGTTTTCACAAATTCCTACTTTGGAGCACCAGGAATTCGATTATACTCACCGATGTTAGTTTAGAGTTTTGCAGCTTTAAAAAGTATTTTAGTTACCTCCTCAAACGAAAATCCGGGACTTAACAGCAACCTCTAAATGTATATGCTCTTACGCTTTACATACTGTCAGTGCAGCTGTGAAATACGCTTGTTCAGTCTCCTCTATTTATAAAGACTTTTGGTGGTAATAAGAACCAGTATTCTGCTGAAATCATTTAAATCAACCTTTTTTTCTTCCTTCACATTCCCAGTGGAACATAGAGCTTCAAACTGGAGGTTTGAAGTTTTTGTAGCAGTCTTTATTTTTACAGGATGGAGTTGCTAGCCTCATGCCCAACCTTTCCTCTTCACCAGCTTTAGTTCTGGCTTAGCGAGGTAAAGGAGTGCCGGGGATCGAACCCCGGACCATGTGGATGGTCGGCGAGCGTTCTAACCACTATGCCACCGACGCACAATCAGGTGAATATTTAGACTCAAAGCATCTTGCTGACTTTCTCCGTTATTACATAACTGTTAGATGGAAACACAGTTGTTTTTTTTAATTTAGAGGCAACATTCAATGCATGATTGACAGATCTAAACCAGTACCTAAACGTTATAACTACCTGATTTATATAAAAACAACAGACAAGTACTGCTTACTCATGACGTGATGGGCCCTCAGCATCCTTTGCAGAAACTTGAAATTCAGCTTTTTGGGGAACTGTGAAAAAAGTGAAAAGACGTAAATCTTACATTCCAAAAAACTTTATATCAACTTGTATTAATGTAAGCGGAAAGATAACTGACTGATATGAACACATTATATTTCAGAGTGGTTTGTACCGCTACTGTGCATCGGTGGTTCAGTAGGAGGGCGCTCATCAACCACCCATGGGGTCCGGGTTTCGATTCCCGGCTGACGCACTCCTCAACCTCTCTAAGCCGGTAGTAAGTCCGGTAAAGAGGGAAGGTTGGGTGTTAGGTTAGCAACCCCACTCCGTAAAAATAAAAACCACTGCTACTGAAACTTCAAAGCTCTAGCTTGAAGCCCTATGTTCCACTGGGAACGTATAGGAATAAAATAATAATATAATAATAAGTATGCTACTACTAATTAATATATGCAATTGAAAACCACCGATAACAAACAGTATTGCTTACTAGCCCGATCGAAGTGATTTAAACACTGTTTCTTTCGTTTAAGGCCGACCTTACTAATGGTATATCCGGTTAGACTCAGTTCAAAGAGTCCAGTCGCTCTAAACCACGCGAATCCTGACTAGTTACCTGGGTGAACTGACTACATATGTAATTAAATTCGTTATTTGCAAGTTACACAGTTCGACGTGAAAATTCACCACTGTTTCCTTTGGAAAGCAAAAATATTCAAATCAGAGACACGTGGTCTGCTCGATAGCATAAATGGCAACCAAGAAAATAAACAACATTGCTCGGTTGCAAATGGACGAAATGATCATTCAGTGTTTGGTTCACTTCAACCTGTCTAATGAATACTGCTGCTTGACGTGAGTGCTTTTCAAATACACGTTAGTTAATCAGTAGTATATGCCATCCTGTTATTTGGTTGATTTTCACCTCAGACGAGTTCGATTAATATATTGCATGCCACATATCATAATATACACACCTACCTAATAAGAAAATAAGAATATTTTCATATTGCATAACTCATTTATATACTATAGAGGAATGTCAAGAAATAAAATGCCGTCATATCGAATAAAATGATGCTTACCTTCTGCTTCCATTGGTTTATCATCTTGCATAGTTTCTTCCTCAGACGCATCACTCACGGCAATATTATCATCATCCTTATCTACTGACTTAGAGTTGAGTGAGTGTTTCGATGAGGCTTTATGACGTTTAGGATTCTTAGCATTTCTTTGGGATCCAAAGCGATTGAGTTTGGAAGCACGTCTTAGACGATCATCAGAAAAAACGTCTGGATCTTCATCTGAAGACTTACCTGAAGAATTAATTTCATCCTAAAAATATGAATGAAAATGTGTTTCACACATCACAGTACACATTTTAGAATATTAAGAAAAAATGTAAGACAGAGTTAAAATATAACCAAATCTTCTAGAAGAGGATCATAGTTTTGAATAATATACTACCCCAGCGTTAAACTACAACTTGTCAGCAATAAGTAGTTTCAGTTAGGAACTTAGGAGCTTCACGAAACTTAGCTAAACTGTTTTGTTTGCCAGAAGAAAGTGATTAGTATATAACAAAGTGAGAATATAGGTCATTTCGATCATCACTTTGACTCAGTGGCCAATCATGGGTGGCAAAGTGAAGTAGAGTAGTTGTGATAATTACGAACAAAGCAGTTTGAAAATACTTGACTTGATTGAGTGATTTAATTTAGCATGTTGATGAGCTAGGGTATGGACACAGTTACTTCAAAGTACTTTAGTACCTAATTAACATACCGGATATCTTCATCTCTCAGTATCAAAGGGACTATGTGTGAAGTTGTGGAAACAACTCTTGTTTTGGTTGGTGCCTAGATACATGATGTCGGATTCAAATTAGACACTAGGTGGCTGAGGTCACACAGAGGAACTAGCCCCATATTTCTAGTATTCCTAATAAATACCAGACAATTGCAAGGTGTTTCATGATGGTTTTTGTTTGGTTGTTAACAAATTGTGACGAAAATCATCTGTAAATGCGCTTGATTTCCCAATGAAGTACACCCGTGGACAATTGAACTGCCAGAGTAATTTCGAAATCAAAAGTGTGTACGTACTTGTGAATGTAATAGACTAGAGTCATCAGAACCCCAGAAATCTGTTTCAGACTCATTGTCATCGGATACCCTTCTTTCAAGAAAATCATGTTCTGAATCCTCATCTGAAGAGTATTGATGGAATCGTGTTCTTATGTAGTCTTCATCGTCATCGTCATTATCTGTGCTGTAGTGTAGGCTTTCATGGGAATTGATTTTTTTACACGCAACACGATCTGAATCTTCTTGTTCATCCTCAGGATTATCAGTATCTAATATTCAAGGTAAATAATGTGAAGACGTGAAGACTTAAGAAATAGACAGTTAACGATGTAATAAAAAAAAATATATTCCATGTTTATAAATATTTTACAGTGAAAATCTTTATAGTCGTCATTCTACAAAATTAAGTATAATACCTTGTAAGTGTTTTCCGCGATTTGCAATTTGTCAATAATACAACTGGTTTTGTGATTTATTTGAAGTCATAGGATTGGATTGGGTAACTGCTTTTAGTCTAACCGCTATCCAAACAGTCTTTCTGGCATGGTAGGACCTGCAGGAACATAAGTTCCGGCCAGTATAGCTTGTTGGGTCATTGCGGTGTTCAAGCCCGACCACCACGTCAAGGTAGCAGCTTTCGGTCGGGAAACATGTTGACCACTTCACCTATTTGGGAAGTTGTATCAGCACCAACGGATTGATTGGTGACGAAATCACAGCACGGATCCAGAAAGCTCGGGCTGCTTTCGCTAACTTACACCGTCTCTGGCGTAGGCGTGACATCCGGCTGTCAACCAAGGGACGTGTATACTGCTCAGCAGTTCGCTCCGTCCTTCTCTATGGCTCTGAAACATGGCCAATACTAGTTGAAGACATGAAAAGGTTGTCTGTTTTTGACCACAGATGTTTACGATCTCTTTCTCGCGTTAGGTGGTATAATAAGGTAAGTAGTGTTGACGTTAGGCGTAGAGTGTTGGGCAAAGAGGGAAAATCACTCGAAGAGGCTATAAAGTTACATAGATTGAGATGGTTACGTCACGTGCTGCGCATGCCTAACTATCGCCTCCCCCGACTTGCATTACTAGCTGATATAGGTGCAGGTTGGAAAAGGGTAAGTGGTGGCCAAACAAAAACATGGCATCAATCCATGATATCCTTGACTGTTAAACTAAGTCAGGTAGGGAGATGCAGACTTCCGGGTTGGGGCCCTCGGGACTCTAAGAATCAATGGCTGGAGACAATAGGTGACATGGCTCAAAATCGTTGTCAATGGCTTACTCAGATGTATTCAGTCTCTGTAATTTTTCATATTCCTTTCTACCATTACTCATTCTGTTTCACTCTTATACTTATCTAAATTCTATTGATTCTCTTCACTCATCTTCTTGTCTACCTTTGTGTGCTATTTGGAACGTGGCAACTCGAACTGCTGCACTTCGGTGCCAAGTTCTATGTTGAATGTAACTAACTAACTAACTAACAACTGGTTAAAAATATACAGAAGAGAAAATTAAGCGTAAACCTACACCTACTTTATAGCGTAAGCCTATTGTGGTACAGTGATAAGTGTAGCTAATTAAAAGTAATTAAAGGGAAACTACGAAACAACAGTAATATTCAATCAGTTCTATTGGGTTCAGAGACTTAGTGTGTCATAAAAAGCGATTCCAACAAGCTTCATACTTTCATCAACAATTGTCTTCGCTTTATACCGAACATCTAATGGCCAAAAATGATTAACAACATAAAACTCTGGCGAAACGCCAACCAAGAACCTACTACCAAATAAATATGCCAAAGAATGAAGAGATAGATCAGATATACACTGAGAAAACCGTTCAGAGACATTGCACGCCAAGTTCTAAAGTGGAACCTGGATGGAAAATGACGAGTTGGACATCAGTTCGAAGGTCACATGGAAGAGATGAAATCTTATGAGCACTGATGGAGCCAGCCTAAGATGACTGCAGAGAACAGCATGAAATGGAGATGTGCTGTTGAGACCTTAGGTTCAACTAGGAACCTAAAGTAATAATAATAAACTATCTGCCATTGATAACAACCTTTTAATTTTTGAGAGGAACAAGCTTAATGTAATTATTATAATGGAAGCTAGACAAAACACAGTTCTGATCTACAAATTATGAAATCGAAAAGAAAAATATCCCTAGAATCTTGTCCAAGATCTTTAACAAAACAAATGTTAGCAAACAACTATATCACAATGAACTGAACTGATTGGTTACAGGATTTCACCATGAATTGACATCGGTTAGAGGACCATTGGAAAAATTGCGAGTACCGGACAGCTGTTTACCCCTAGTTAGGCACTCTTCAGTAGTGCGCAACCGTCAGGGTTCGAGCCCAGGACCTTCCGGTCGTAAGGTGAGCTCGTAAACCGTTAAGTCCATGAATTCCAACTTCTGGCAATTCACGATATAGCACAACGACTAGCCACTGTCATTGGTGAGTGTCTGTCCTTAAACCCGACCTGCTGTACCCAACTGGTCACGACTTATGACGCAGGACTTCGCACATAAGTGCAGCAGTTTAACTCACCACACTCCATATATCATACAAAGGTTGAGGAAGAAAAATCAAAAGAACTATACGTACATCACGATACACTACGTCAAAAATTCAGTATAGTTAAAGGGCATAATTTTTAATCAAAACATTTTTGCTCAGTTTTGTTTCACATGTACGTTAAGAATTTAAACATTAACGATATTATAAGTGTAATTTAATTTGGGTACTAAACTAACCTTCTATAATTTCAGGTTTTTCAGTTGGAGAAACACTTGTATGCTGACTGTCCTGGTTTTCTGAAGATTTAGAGACACCAATAGTTTCTACGCAATTATCACATAGTTTTTGAGAATTAGAACAGATATCTGCATCTACTGACTTACTTTTAGGGCCTTCCATATTTTGACCCAAATGATTGTAAATTTGCCTACATACATGGGTTATAAAAAGTTCTCCCATGCACAAGACAAAAGACAAAGGTCCATAGAGATCTGGTGCATTTGGAGCTGTAGATAAGTCACATTTATCGGCCACCGGAGGCAAACAGTTAATAGAAGGATTGACCTGAAAGATGCATCAAAAGTCATTAAATATTGTAACCACTATCTGTCGAATTAATAAAAACAAAATGCAGCCTACTGGAAGTCACATTTTCAAATATTAGTGTAAGTTGTTTTACTTGACTACAGAAAATAAACTAGAGCGGAGAATCCTAGAATGTACAACTCTACTTAGCGTAAGGTTGAAAAGTGTGCTATATTCCACGAAGTTTGTAACACAAGTTTTGTATTCTTTAATTTTATGCACCAAGTCACAAAATTCTAAAAGGTGAACGAATACCAAGAAAAATTTGCGATTAGAGAAAGTTCGAATTGGTGAGTACAACCATAGAAAATGACTAAAAGTTCCAAAAAAGGCCTTATTCTTACACCTTCAGTCCCACGGGGATAAGATCAGCGAGATAAGACAACGCCTTAGGGATGCGGTAAAAAGAGCATTCAGTGCTGCTGAATTATGCTGTGTCTTCAAAACCACATCTAATTTATGTTCTGGAGTAAAACATAAACTGCCTAATTTCGCCTCTTCTGTTTGTATCTACTAATTCGACTGCTCCTGTGGAACCAGTTACATAGGTCGTACAAGTAGGTGTGTTTGTCGTCGGATTTCTGAACATCATCCTGTGTGGTTAAGTAAACGATAAAACAAAGTTCATTCATAGCGCTATTCTATCTCATCTTGTGGATACAGAACACAAGATTGATGTTGATGACAAGATTGATGCTGACGACCTCTCTGTCTCTATGCCTGTCAACTCTCAGTCAGACTGTTCCAAATTAAATAACTTTCTGTCGGAAATTAGTCAGTGGTCCTCTTCAAACGGTCTTAAGGTGAATCCGTCTAAATGTCAGGTAGTAAATTTCACTTTCAGACGAAAACGTGACCTACAACAACTAGCTAGCTCACATGGTCCCACTATCATTGACGGCATAGAGGTTGAAACTACATCTAATGTCAAGTACCTTGGACTGAGTATTTCCTCCGATCTTTCCTGGTCCTCTCACATCTTGCTAGTTACTAGAAAGATGTTTCGCTTAACGTTCTACGTTAGGAAGTTAAGGCAGTCTGGTATAAAGCAGTCTTTGCTTTCTCAGTTTGTCAACTCTTGTAATCTAACCATCCCTCTTTACTGCTCCCCATTAATCTTTCCTGGACTACTTAAGAAAGATTTTGCTTTGCTGCGTAGGGCACTAAAAGCTGTTACTAGGGCAAGTGAGATTTCGTTAAACCCACTGGTTAACACCATTGTGGATAGACATATAATGTCATGTAAGAAATTAACGAATACTATATTGTCAGACCACGAGCATCCTCTCTATACACAGCTCTCTCCTTGCATTTCATCTGGTAGTACTAGAAGCAACTATAGGAGGCTATTTGCTAGGACTACCAAGTACAAAAACTCCACAATACCTTATCTGGCACAGCTGTTACGTGATGAGAAATCCGTTAGGTATGACACGATCAACTTACTGCGGCACTCTAACAAATAGTTCCCGTTAGCTTTCGTTCTCCTTTCTTTGTTACTATTATATTGTTGCTCGCATATTCTATTACACACTAATTTTATATTTCATATCCTGTGGTGCATTGTTAAAAATTTGAATGCAATGCTGTTCTTTTTCATTTCTTTTATTTATCTTTTTTTCTTTTTGTTGTTGTTGCTTTTTATTTTTAAAATCTTATAAAATTTATGAGGTAATTAGATGTAATATTGTAATGCACGCTGAAACTTCCATACCTGTACCACAAATACTGTTTGGAATAAAGCTATTATTATTATTATTAAAGATGTTAAATGAAGATATTAATCCTTATTTTGGCGCGAAATTTGTGTTTTTTAGATATTTTCAGAGATAAGTGAACTAGCCATATTTGAAAGGTGTTCTTTGAATCGTACGAAAAGAGCTACTCATTACATGTTCTAGCAGAAAATGTAAATATTCTTATTGAATGCGATGCTATAAACAGTTTAGACAGGTGAGAACTGCAGAAAATAATAAAGTAATAGTCGCGAGAGAAAAGTTAATATTAAGTTTAGTGAATACTAAACATGATATCATCAAATCGATGTGCACCGTGGTGGCGAGCTACCTAGAGTGGTGGCCATATTGCAAACCTGACTGATAGAATTCAGTCTGCACCAAAGAAAGGACTAGACACGTCACACTAGTTACTAGTGTCCAATCAAAATAATCAAGTTTCCTTTTCATTGTTCAGTCTGTAATAAAGATGTTTACCACCTTGGATAAAGCAGGTAAGTAAATCGACAAAATTATAAGCCCACATCGCCTGAAGTGACCACATGTATTACGCATACTTATGTCTTGATGTAGCATACTGCGATAATTAGGGTCAATTGGGGAAATAGTGACGAGTAGTTATACCAAGACGTGGTATCAGTCCATGACGTGACAGAGTATTCGTTTGAGATGTTGGAGGGGACGAAGATAGCATGGTTGAGATATTTGTGAATTCCAAGTGATGAATACTTTGAAATTTCAATAATCGTAACTTATCCATAATGTAAGGATTATACCATCAGAGTTATTTCGGATACAAATTCAACGGGAAATTTTAATTTTTGCTTATTTCTGACATACCTGGCCGCTATTTTCGTCCTCATCAGTATCCAAACTGAAAGAACCCACAGAACTTTCGATTTCCTGAGCATGATTAGGTTCATTTGAAGATTCCTTTACTTCTCCTTCCGACTTATTAGGATCATTCTGCCGTTTGGACTGACTTGTGTATTCATAAATGAGTATGGAAATAAGTAACATTCTGATAAAAATTGGTCCAGTCAACTGGTCTGATGCTTCGTCTGCATGAACCGAATAACTTTGCTGACCATCATCTCCCTTTGAACTTTTGCAGTCAGTATGCTCTTGACTGAAAACACTTTCAGATCTTATTGTCAAATGGTCAGTCAGTAACAAAGATGAGTGTAGTTCTGCGAGTGTATCTTGAAAAATGTTCTCTAGTGCTGGATCCCTGGATCTTACAAAAAATACGAAAAGTACAACTTTAGTTTATTTAATCGAAACCTCTTAATCTTAAGAATTCATAATATTTGTGTAGTTGAACGTGCAAATTAAAGTAATGAGGGGTAGCAATGAGAAAATGAACAGTCTAACTAATTAATATGTTTCCCAAAACCTATTTGCATTTACACATACAGGGAGAGAGTAAAGAGCTACGCGTACTGTATGAGGGCTGATAATACTACGTGACTGTCCAAAGATCGGTAGTTGTTGGGTATAGAACATGTTTAGAGTTCTGTCTTATGATTCCAAAGATCTGTCATTCGAAAATGACATGAACTATGTGCATTTCGTACGTTGGTTGAATGGGAATTTCCTCATTCGGTAAGGGCACCATACAAATAATACTGTTTTATGAGTCTCCAGACAGTAGATGTTACGAATTCCCCGGAATAATTTGAGCGCCGAGTCAGATTGAATCATTATACGAGTTGATCACGGACTGATATCAGTTAGAGAACCATTGAAAACCAGGGAGTACTGGACAGCTGCTGTTTCATCCTAGTTTGGGAATCATCGGCAGTACGCACCCACTGGGATAGTAGGAGTAAAAATTCTGACATGAAAAGACGATACGAGTATACCGGGGACCTTTTACCTGTTGCATAACTTCTTCGTTAATAACAAGTTTTATTGGGAAAATGGTTACATACTGAAGAATCTCAATATAGATTCGATTTTAGTTCGAACTTACTTTCTCAGTAACGACAGAAAACCAACTCTTAACATATTCGGTATGTGAAACAATGGATACTAGATTTAATTATTCTCAGTGGGGACATTATTATTCACTGGAGAGTGTAGATACATCCAGTTGACGAGTTCTAAATAGGACGAAGCGTGCATTTCGAATCTCACAGCTAGCCTTCATCAGTCAAATAACTTCTTGACATATTTCAAATGACTGCTTTTTTGTAATGCCCACTAACATCTTGATTTTAGTTTTCCTGACATATTTATATCATTATTTTAAACTACTTGATCTCTTTTTGTCACTTTTTTAAAGTATGATAATAATACTAAATGCTGGTTACTTGCTGGATAACCAGTGGTTCTACTGCTAACATTTCTCAATTTAAATATGAAAGACAATAATTTTAATGTGGCTTCCCATAAGTCGACTTTTAGTAGATCCAAAGATAAAGACAGCAATAATCTCTGTTAAATGTTAAATTATCTTTGGATATATAATAACAAAAAAAGAGAGACATACTCGGCAGGCTTTAGAAATTGTTGAATCAAATAGATGAATTTTATAATAGTCTTCCGAAAGTCTTTCGGTCTGAAAAGTTAAGAAAAAGCACACGTATTAGCTAGAGAAAAAATGTACTATCTTATGAATTAACTGAAGCCATCAATTTAAAATATGTTATTAGGTGAAGCAGATGATTCAAAAATATGAAGACCGACATGAATTCCCGTAAGTTCGAGAAGTGAAACATTTCAAAAGCAGTCCGGACTATCAATTTTGCTAACCTAGAGGGCAGACAAAATTTTGCACAGTTACACAGGAATAATTCACACAATGTTTAGGAAATGGAATATATGAAAGGGATAATACATAACATGAAGCTTCCTGCTAAATTGAAGCCACAGAGCGCCGATAGGGGTAGTAGATGAAACGAAATCGCTGAGAAATTTCGGTGACTAATACTGCAGTAGTTATTTAGTTACTCCTAGGGGGTATTACTTCTGTTGTGTAAGAAAGCTTGGTAGCTTGAACTAATACTTTACTGCTACACATTACTTGTATTGTCTATAACATGTCTAGCACACATTATTCTAATACATAAAACATACCTGAAATAAGAAGGATATCCTATGCGTGACGACTTTTCTCGGGTAATTCTACCATAACGTATCTCATTTTTAGCCAATACTGTTACAAGATTTCCTTTAGCACCTTCAAACGGAGAATAGGATGTCAAACAACGTAAATAGTGGAAAATAGCATTCAAGCCGTAGCAACGTCCAACATCCAGGATCCCCAACTGGTTGTGAGGCGAACCTGATGGAAAATGAATCAAGAAATGTACAGAATATATATATATATATATCAGTCAAAATAAAAACTAGAGACGATGCAGATGATTATGTGAAATAAATCACTTTTATAATATCATATTCCGAATAATACAATCGTTGGCTGAATTCCTGTTAAACAATAGGCTATTCAGATAATCAAATATGCACTTGTGGGGTCAAGAGCAATATAATTGTGCAGTTTTTTGTTAGATGTTAAAGATGCAACAATTGTACATAACTTTTTTAAAACGATTCGTGGTAAAATATGCGCTAATTTGGAATGCAATCTCAAATACAGTGTACTGCTTTTCGCTGCGTTTTCTCACTGTTCCGTACTGTCTACTTGCTTCCTTTGGATTTTGCAGGAACCTCTCATCCTCATCTGAAGACTATTCTACAACCGGTGCACAGCTTCTACTAGTAGACACGAATCCAGCAGTGAACGCTTCTTTGGATTATACTAATAATTTGTAGCAGCGGTCTTTAACTGTTATGTAACTCGTTAACTGTATTTCTTATAATATACTGTTACACTATCATTTCACTAACTTGAATTTTTATTCTAATATTTGTACGGTTACTGAACTCGCTATTAAGTTCTCTACACACCGATGTAAGCCAAAACTCACCATTTAGACAAACAGAAGGTAACAAAATGTTTACTTTTCAATGGCTCTGTTCTAGTGCATGCATGTATGGCAACTAAAATACAGTAGGTATTTTGTCAATCTAATGGTTGTAGATTTGTTAACAAATATGAGTAAACCTTAACGTGCCGAAGGAGTGATAATTAGCCAAGAATACTAGTTCAACAATTGAAGATTAGAAATATTTGTGGAGATTACAACGGGCGGTTGCGTAATCAGTGATCAATACGTTGAAAAATAAGGATGAATGAATAACCGAATTACCAAAATGAAGTATGTAAGAAAAATTAAGGGTGAAGTAACCAAATTATTGAAATGGTAATGAATAAAATATAAGTGAACATATAGTATACAAACCTCACCCAGACTACTAGCTCACTAGTTTTCTAGCCGGTCCCAAGCCCGGATAAAGAGGGAGGGTTGGGGCGTGGTGCTAGCAACTCCACCCCCAAAACTTAACCAAATCGCTACAGAAACTTCAACGCACAAATATATTAAAAATTCTAAAAATATAAACAATGACCTTAATTTTCGCTGGAATCGGGGAAGTGAAATGACGCAGGCTGGTGAAAGCCTTCGGGAAGCCAGTCAGCCGATGTGCTTTCTTTCGATGAAAGCAAAAATAAGGATGGGGACGTGGAATATTCGTACAATGTACGAAGCTGGAAGGCTGCTCAGGTAGCCGCAGAAATGAGGAGATATAAAATAGAAGTGTTCAGAATCTGCGAGAGCAGATGGAACGGATGTGGAAGGAGCCAACTACCAATTGGAGAGACAATAATATACTCCGGTCACCCAGAGGACAATGACGGGCACACTGAGGGAGTAGCCATCATGATGTCACCAGCAGCAGCGAAAGCTGTCATGCAGTGGGAACCAATCTCCTCCAGGATAATGACAGCCAGGTTCAACTCAAAAGGAAGGAAGGTTACAATCATCCAATGTTATGCGCCTACAAACGTCTCAGAACAAGAGAAGAAGGAGGCCTTCTACAGACAACTACAAGCAGTAGTGGACAACGTCCCAAATGGCGACATCTTTTTTATTCTATCATTAATATATCGTTGTCGCCACTTCCATCAATCCATAATTATAATCTTACACCCATATTTTTAATGACGCTAATATTGATGCACATCTGCTGTTAATTATTTTCCCCTAAGTAAAGTTAAGAGAAAATTAGACGCAGTATTGTACTATATTCCGGGAATCTCATACTGTCAAGTATACTACTTGGAATAAAGCCATTATTATTGTAAAGTATGGTTAAAAGGAGGAATCTGCTATTTATTTACACCAAGCCGCATATGATAATGATTCACTGTTGAAATCGGTTGGTACGAAATACTGAATGTCTAATTACATGACTGCACACAATCGTAAACCAGTTAAAACAAACAACAAATATGCCCTGTTAGCGTAAAAATGTTCATCAATCTTAATTTATAAATTCCTCTTGAAATCTGACCAGTTATTGTGACAGGCTTTGAAGTGAAATGGGTCGTAAATTAGTGCTTATGAAACAGACTTCACAGAGGGAAACTGATTGAAACCTTTAGTTACCGACCTGTTTTTCAACTAAATGAGGTGATTAGATACCATAGAACCTAGTAGTACGAGTCCATTTCATTAATGGAATAGCACTACGAATAATCAGACCTGCATAGATCCTAGCATTTAAATCAACGATAAAATAACGAAGAATAAACCAGTAAAACGTTGACTGGAAAATAGAAAGCTAGAATCATAGCTTCGACTACTCTGTAAAAGAAGTTGCATTTAGTGGAGACATTCGCTGAAGAAATTAAACACTTAAATGTTTTCAATGTACTATGGGTATTTTGCAACAGTGAATATTTTGGTACTTACCTATGAGGGGATCAAAATAAAAAGCTGCTTTGTAGTATCGATAGGCAAGTTGTTTGGCGTTTGCATCTCCCAAGTCAATTAAATAGCGAACTGAATGTGTTATGAACATATAAATGACATACAAAGATCTCCAATATTTGTCAGGCACTTATGTATCAGCTTGTTAACGACAGTTTTATTCTCCGTAGAGAGTTCCGGTTTGGCTTCAAACTCAAAAACCAGTCCTCGAGAAACATATAATGGACAAATACAACTTACCACAGTAAAAAGGGATGTGAAAAACTATTGAGACCCACCCACATATATCAGGTAGGTGCGTTTCACCAAGTTCATTCTGTACAGCTAGAACCAATGACTGGTAATACCCAATCGCACTGAAAATGTGTACAACGAGAGATTCCTCAAACAAAGAAACGCGGTCTTGATGATCATTATCCTGATAATTACAATATTTTTAAATTATTTAGTCACCTTAACATAGAGTTTATACAGAAAGATAGGTTCATAAAAAACTTTCCGCCAGATAAGTTCTTCCGATCGCCGCGAATTTCCTCCCAAATCTATGAACATGAGCCTATGCAATGTTTCTTTCAGCCTATACAAATGTGGAAATGAAAAAATAGATCTAACCTTAGTCGGTGACCATAAGCATCATAACTGAAAACTGTTTTAATTGCTTTGCCACCATGATAAATTGCGTCCAACTTTTTAATTGCCACATATGCTGCTCTATACTTATTGTAATATACTGAAAAGTCCCCTACCTCCATAGTGCTTTAGATTTGTCAGTATTATCACCTGACATCGTTACGCCACACTCAAAATAACCGGTGGGTTTCAATATCCAATATCTTTTTTACCAGCTAGTATAAACCAATTTGAGTTCTTTGTGCTCGCCTCTTGATTGTGAAGTATAGGTTCCTGATCTTCAGTAAACTTCTGCGTAGCTCGTCCCGCCACTCGACTGTTGTAGCTATGGTTGACTCCTAAAAGAGTAATGCTGGTATTAATTAAATGTGGTTTGTAGTATGGGTGTGTTAAGACTGTTACTACTGTGAATCGAGTTGATCCTTTCACCAGTTAGTCCTCCGGTATCGTCGTCAAAAGAAAAGAGATGATAATAAAATTAATGGTAGATATAATTAGTGAAGTTGTTCAGACTTACAGACAGAAAAAGAATTAAAGAAAACGTAACAGCAGTCAGCTGATTAAATTTGAAGAATAACATGATTGTCCAGCCTTCGATTAAAGGTGTCCACAGACAGTGCCATGGCTACATCTGCCGGCAATGAGTTCCAGGGACGGCAAACCCGTAGTAACCACCTTCTAACACCTACTCGTACTTATTCAAATGTATAGATCGCTCTACTCGTTGACCGGAGGCTATCCCTTTTTTCGACACAACAGCCGAACCAATTCGCCGACCATTCACGAAGAGATATGTCGCACAGTTTTTCGCCCTTCTACGGTGACAACAGACCGTGGGCAACAATTTGAGTCTGTAGTTTTCAAAAGCTTTTGGAACTATTACGATGCAACTGTATATGAACTACAGCTTACCACCCAGCAGCTGGCAGACTAGTAGAGCTGTTTCATCAGCGACTTAAGCTTGTCTAATGGCCACTAACAAGGGCAAATTGACAGATTCTCTTTCCCTAACCCTTCTTAGCATCCTTCCTATTCTTAAATTATATATTCAATGCACCGCAGGAGATCTGATTTACGGAACCACACCCCGTTTACTTGGTGAACTAGTTTCTTCAGAAGGTGCCAAACTATTTGTTTCTGATGCTCGTATTCACGCTCAGCGTCTAACACATTTTATGTATCAACTGCGAACAACTCCAACACGTTCACAAAACAGAAAAGTGCATCTAGATGCCAGACTTCAAGACTGCACCAACGTTTCTGTGCATTGCGACGCTGTGCGTAAAACCTTGCAAGCTCTTCACGAAGGACCTTACGAATTCATCAGTAGGAAAGAAAAATTTTCGTATTGACCTAGCAGAACGCCGGAATGCCATCAGCGTTTATCGACTAAAAGCAGCTTGTATTGAGGGTGAACCACTAACCTCTGCGTCACCTACACCAGGAAACTCCTTCAACCCAAGCCCAACCCAGACTAAAATACCATAGGACTTCCTATACCTCCCAATACCGCATCTGACTACACTAGTAAAATGCCTTTAACACTAACTTGTCGGCGAGGTATATTGACCTTAACGGTGCTCAAACCTTGTCAACTAAGTCATTCTGATCTATTAGTTAACTGTTGTATTCCTCATTTGGTGTAACCCTAATGAAGGATATCCATACATAGGGTTTTTTACTCACCTTTCATATTGTGTCGTTGATAAACTGATAAAATAGAAATTCAAGATTTTCACAGGATGAAGGTTACATGAGGATTTCAGATACTCAGTTGGACTAACAAAGTGATTGAGAGTTGTTTACAGCTATACCTAGTCTTATGTACACTAAGTAGGAGAAAGAAAGGAATTTCGGCATGGCGATGGAGATAATAGTACTAATATCCTCATTTCTGTTGTTTATAAAAAATTCCGATCCATAATTTAATAAAAGCAGAACAAGTAGGTCTGCGAACAGTCTCTCTTCTGTGAAATCATTTTCTGTAGCTGTACAATCCCATTTGTATGCAATTACCTAACGAAAGAGGATAGTAGCGATAGTGTTGGGTTCCCACGGACAAAGTTATTAATATCAGTTAATTCATAAAATTAGTTGAATTTGTGTACTAGATTTACGTATCAAAACATGTAATATAATGAATGCGCTGCAATCTGCATTCACATGGAACTGTCATTATTCTTTTGGGTTCTGACATGAACATAGGGCTTCAGCAACACGTCCCCACTTTGTTCTATTCTGCTGTCTTCTTCAGCAAGTCCCATGATTGCCCAAAATCATTTATCTCCTCCTTGCCACAAGATCTCATCCGTTTCACCTTCGCACTGGCTTCCCATTGGGTATCTACTCGAGAGATGGCCTGGCACGCGATGGCATTTGACCGCCTCTCCAACGTGCAACCGATCCACCCCCACTTTCTCCTACACATTTGTTAAGCAATCAGCTCTTCGTTGGCTTGTTACAAGCAAGAGTATCTTGTTACTAATTCTTTCTAGCCAGCCATTCAATCTTCAGTATGGAGGGAAGGCAGCTGTTGATGAAATCTACAACCTGTTGGAAATCCTTTACGTGACACACAGTACAAGTTTCTAATCCGTATAGAAGAACCGACTTGACATTGGTGTTGAAAATGCGAATCTTGTCCCTTATTCTGAGTGTAGAAGGTTCCAAAACTGGTTTCAGGTTGATGAAGGTGTCTCTTGCCTTCCCGATTCTGACTTTGACATTTTCGTCCGTTCCGCCTGTAGCTGAAACGATGCTTCCCAGATAAGTGAAGGAGGTAACCTCTGTTAAATTTCTCCCATTGATGGTGATTGGTGCTGGTTGCTGTTGCTGTTGATTGGTTATCTTCATCACCTCCGTCTTCTCTGTGTTCACCCACAGTCCTGTCTTCTCTGCTCGCTTCTTCAGCCGGTTTGTTAGTTTTCGCCTGCAAGTCCTCGAGTTTGTATGATACTAAACATGATTCATCTGCGAAATCCAGATCTTCTAGAGTCTTCTTATCGGTGGTCCAGCGTATTCTTGTGGGAATCTTCTCCTATATGCAATTTATGCCATTAGATGTGAGTTCATTGACCTTTCAAACGACTAGTAAACAAAGTAAAAGCGGCAGAAATAAATTTCATCAAAATTCCACCGACAAACCTATGACTACGAAACTTTCAGGCGCCTCCAATTCAGCTCAAAATTGATAGAATCAGTTCACGCCGTCGCGCTAATCAGGCTCATGCCGTGATGACGCAGGTAGATGACATCACATCATAGACAGAGGGAGTGCGGAAAGACCTGTATTTCACTTCATTCAGATTGTGCAGGACGGCGAAGGTGATTATTTATTGTGTTCACCGCACCAGTTGTAATTACATTTTACTGGCAAACAAGAATCTGTTTAACAACCGGCAAAAGAACACTTGTAACTTCAGTTCCAAATAGGTAGTTAACTTATAAGTTTGTCGGGAAATATCACTGTTTAGAACCACTGTGAACGCAATGAAATTGGTGAAACTAATTCTAATGTTGTTACCAGAGTTGGTTATAACCAGGTCATCTAACATTAAAAAAAAAATGTACGGGTTTAAGGCCATAAGTTGGAACTGCTTTTAGGCTCCATGTCAACTCAGACTGACGACCAGCGTCACGCATACTGTGTCCCGTGTGTGACAACGGGTGATGCAGTAGCAGCACTGATTTGGGCAAACGAAGCTGACCGATTTCGTGACAGCAAGCACTGTCAGGTTCCCCTACTGGTGGTATTTCCCACGTTGCATCTAGTGGCAGTTAACTATGAGTTTCTGAACACCTTGAGCAACATCCGGTAACCATGGTATGAAAATATAATTGACTGTGTTTTCGACTTATATTTAGGATTTTCTTATTCAAAAGCAATAATGGGATCCCATTAAACACTGAAATTCCTATTTTAGCAGAGCTGAAGGAGTTGAGAAGGATAATTTAACTTCTGAGGGTCAACCGAAAGTTTAAAATTATTCTACCGCAAGTGAGGGCCAAAAAATCAGAAGTGTCAAGATATGAGCAATATGCACACTTTCTTAGTGGAGATTTACAACAAAAAGACTGGTTGCCTCCTGATTGTGCAATGACAGCTTTTTACTATCATAGTTATCTTAAAATTATCTTCACCTTGTCATGCAGCGGTTTCTCACTTGCCAAAACGCTCCCCAAGCATTAACTGGGTGGCATCTATCGATCACCAGCCTGCGGAGCAGAGCAAAACCAGCTACTGCACAGCACCATCACAGGGATACGGGACTTGGGCTGTGACTAAATCACCACAACTGGGGATTTCAATGCCCCATCACCGAACCTTGCTTTGGGGTACGCCCAGGGAAAATTCGGTCGAAATCTGCTACAAACCATTAAAAGTACAGGACTGACTGGAAGTGTTGGAGACGACACTAGATGGGGTCCTAGTGAATAGTCACCGAAACTAGACTACATTAT